GTAGGGGAGGGGGGGAGACACAAAGCTCACAGGTTCAACTTTCAGATCTGTGCACACATGCAGGAACATGGCCATCTCACATCTAAGAGGAGGTTTGGGACAGGGGTTGGAGCAGGATCTGGGGAGACGGGTCTTGTATGGCTCTTTAGCACATCCTTAAAAGCCCTGCATGCCTTTTCCTATGCATTCCTTGTATAGACACCTTGTTGTTATACAACCTCAATGCATGACATATGAGCCAAAGTTTATGGGGACCTTTTCCCAGGCACCAGATCACAGACACATAGTATCTGAAAATCTGTTAGAAACTTGTGTTCCTTTGTTTCCTACAACTGTAACAAAGGGCCTGAAGCAATGAGCTTACATTGAGAAAGGGCTGCTTTCTTCCCCACAGTGTGAGTGATTAGTTGATGCCATTGCTTTGGGCCTGCAGCAGGGCAGCAAATCAACTCACCTCAAGGCCAGAAAGCAAAGAGCAAGCAAGGAGTGGCAAAGGTCACACAATCCCCTCCAAGGGCATTGTCTCAATGACCTGAGACCTCACATTAGACCCCACCTCTTAATGATTCCCCACATGCCCAAAACACCTCTAGCCTGTGGACCTGGGGGGGGGGGATACTCAATATCCACAGTACAGCAAGATTCTTATGTTTTAAGCATCATTCAGGCTAGTTTTCTGTAATTCTATTAAAAAGTAAGAAGGGTAAGGAGCTGGAGAGATGGTGTAGCAATTAAGAGCCCTGGCTGCTCTCCCAGGACACCTGGATTCTGTTCCCAGAACCCATATATGATGGCTCACAACTCTCTGTAACACCACTCCCAGGGGTTCTGACGCCCTCTTCTGACCTCCATCGGCACTGCATACACATGGTACACAGACATAAATGCAAGACAAAACACATGGTGGCACACGCCTTTAATCCCAGCACTTGGAAAGTAGAGGTAGGTGGAACTCTGAGTTCAAGCCAGTCTACAGATTGAGCTCCAGGACTGCCAGGGCTACACAGAGAAACCCTGTCTCAAAAGAAAAAAAGAAAAGAAAAGAAAAAAGTTTCTTTCTGCGTTTTTGTTCGTTTGTTTGAAGTAGGGGCCAAACATCATGGTGGCACACACCCAAGCATTCACAAGGCAGAGGCAAGAGGATCTCAAGTTCAAGATCAACCTACAGCTACATAGAGAAACCCTGTCTTCCTCCCACACACATCCAAAACACAAGAAAACAAAACCAAAACCAAACAAAAACCACAAGCATGATGGCTCGCACCTGTAACCCTAGCATTCAGCAGGCTAGATTATTGCAATGGATTCCGGACCAGCTTGGGCTCAGTGCCCAGTTCCAAGCTAGTCTGAGTGAAGGAACAAGAGCCTATCTCAAACAAGCGAAACAAGCCGAGGACAAATATCTCCCCTCAGTGTTCTCAATGAGACAAGGATACACACTGACAGGCCTGGAGAAAAAGTGACACATTATGTTCCCAGCTTGGAAAGGGGACAAAAGGAGGACAAAGCCCTCCCTCTGATGTCCCAGTACTTGGTCAGCAGGCATGGCTACACCATGCTACCCAACCTCCCAATATAACAGAAGAGAGTCCCCCTCAGGTAGAGTGAAGGGGGCAGTGTGGGGACTGAGTGAATGTTGGTCATCGTTGTCTGGGACATCTTGTTATTCTGAAATGTTTTTTTTTTTTTTTAATGTAACCAGGCGTGATGGGGGAAAGTCCTTCTGTATGTTTCTCTTATTGGTTGATGAATAGGCGGGATTAGGAGATGAGGAGAATTTTGGGAAAGGCAGGCAGAGGGAGCCCACCAACATAGTCACCATGTAGACCACAAAGGAGTAGCAGGTCAGGGCCCTTCTCTGGTAAGGTAAGACCACATGGGAATACATACATAGATTTATAGAAATGGGTTAATAATTAAGACAGAGCTAACCAATAAGAAGCCCAAGTCATCGACCAATGCTTTTATAACTAATACAACGTCCATAAGTTTATTTGGGGTTGAGGTGGCTGCAGGACTAGGCTGGTGGGAAAGAAACCTTCTGTAACACAGGAGACTCAGTAAAAGATCAAGGACTTCTAGAGTTGGGTTGGCCAGGCTCAGAAGACAAATGTCCCTGTTTGCTTTTCTGTTGCTGAGATAAAACTTTCTGGCCAAAAGCAACTCACTTTACATTTCTAGAACACACCCTATCATTGATGAAAGTCAGGTCAGGAACTCAAGGCAGGAACCTGGAGGCAGGAGCTGATGCTGAGACCGTGGAGGAGCTGCCTACTGGCTTACTTACCTTTCTTATAGAGCCCCAGCCCACCTACCCAGGCATGGCAATACTCACAGAGGGCTGGGCATCATTTAGCAATTTTTAAAAATGCCTCCCAGACACGCCCACAAGCCAATCTGACCCAGGCATTCTTCAGTTGAGGTTCCCTCTTCAGGGGTGACTCTAGCTTTGCATCCAGTACAGTTGACACCATGACAATAGGCTTGGCTATAATCCAGCTTGGTGACCTCAGGTAGGTTACTTAGTCCTCTGGAACCTTAGTTATCTGTGATGCCACCTCTGCATAGGGTCCTCGTGAGAACCAGAGATGATATATGCAGAGGGCATATGGTGATCCAAATAACAGCTAGGATTGTGGGAGAATGCCTATTGGATTTCAAGGGCTGGGACAGAACCGAACAGAATTGGTCAAATATTGGCTGCTTCAAGTGCTAGGGTTTAAAGGTTTAAGCTAAAAGGAAGAAAGCCTGATACTCAAAGGGCTGAAGACATAGCCCAGTGGTTAAGAGTGCTTGTTGCCCTTGCAGAGGACCTGAGTTTGGTTCCCAGCTCACGCTCTCCTGTGACTCAAGCTCTAGGGAATCTGACACCCTCTTCTGTCCTCTGCAGGCACTGCACATGCACAGATACACTCATAAATTTTTTAAAATTAAAATCAAAGCCACATTCAACACATACCTGCATCCATTCATAAACTGCAACTCAACTATATCAGTACCCCTGAGCTTCCTACTGGCTTAAGCCGTCTCTGTCGCCAACATCCCCAGCACAGTGCCTGCTCTAGCTGCTTGGGCTGTACTCTTGGTCCAGTTGCTGGTTTTTTGATAGTTCTGGCTGATAGGCAGAAGTGTCTAGAAAGGGGGTGGGGGGGTACTGCTCCCCAGATGCATGGGGTAAAGACTGGAGGCTTGGAGGGCAGAGCCAGGGGCACATGTCCCCTAGGCCTGGGGAGCTTTTCCAGTGCTCAGGCTGAGAAGACATCTATCTGAAAAGAGACGTGAGCAGCAATCACCCTTCGGCTGCAAGAGGCGCAACAGTGGCATCTTCAGGCCAGTCTGATGAACTCAGCCAAGGAAACAGCACCAAGGCCAGGAAAGCAAACCCTGGCCCCAAAACACCCTGGGCTTTGGCCGGCCATCACACAGGACACTAAGGGAGCTGTAGCAGCCATGTTCCCCTCACTGTGGGGAAGGCTGCAGTCACTCTGGTGGAGCTAGAAGCTTGAGGGATGAGCATTAGGTTCCCCGGGAAAGCCATAGACCACGGTTCTGATTTTCAGTAAGACATCAAGCAGCTTGCAGAACCGCTGGGAAGGGTAGCCAACTAAGCTGAGGAGGCAGGAGCAAAGGAGGGCGTACATTCCCAATCCAAGCATACCACAGGATGACAGGGCCAGGCACAATCTGAGGATACCCACCACCGGCACCGGCACCGGCACTTGGAATTTATGGCTGTAGCCACCGCCCCGGGCCACCCCTGCACAGTAGATGCCTCCACCAGGATGAAATCCCTGCTCTCCGGCAGCACTGGGCCTCCAAAGCCCCAGGCAATTAGTTGTGTCTTGTGGACCAGTCCCAGGCCACAGTCTAGCGCGTAGGTACAGGGAGTCCAGGAGAAAGTTTTTCCCAGACAGAGACACCCTTCCCAAACACGGAAGAGGCATTCTGCAGGCTGCGCCTGCAGAGAGAATGTAGGAAGAACTGCACATCGCAGCTACGCCACCAGGGGGCGCGCTGGGCCGGGGATCACTGACAAAGGAGGAGGAATTCTAGAGCCCTGAGATAACACGCCTCCCCAAGGCAAATAAAACTATTCCCTGTCCATAGAGCAGGAACACTGTTCTCGCTTGAATGTCATAATAAACCACTTATTTAGATATCAATCTAGTGCTGTGACATTTGCCTCAAAATAGGGGCAGGGGTGAATGGGAGGAGGGGAGGAAGGGGGAGGTTGTAATATTAACAAAAAAAAAAAAAAAAAAAAGCAAGCGCTCGGGACTAAAGAGAGCGAGCATTGGCTGCTTTTCCAGGGAACCCTGGTTCAATTCCCAGCACCCAACGTGGCAGCTCACAACTATCTGTAACCCCAGGTCCCGGAGACCCAACGCCTACACACAGACATGCATGCAGAAAAAACACCAATGCATATAAAGTAAAAATAAATAACTTTAAATTAAAAAGGGGGGCTCTAGGCCAGCACTGCCAACGTGGCTCGCTCAGGCCCTGGGACCAGCCCGGCTCCCGACCTGGCGGAAGTACTTCCGCCCGCATCCAAGATGGCGGGGGCGGGGCGGGGCCTGCGGGCGGAAGCGGCGGGCCGACCACTGGCTCAGCACCATGGCGGCAGCGGCCGCCTCCCCCGCTCTGAAGCGGCTGGATCTGCGCGACCCCAACGCGCTCTTCGAGACCCATGGAGCGGAGGAGATCCGCGGGCTGGAGCGCCAGGTCCGAGCCGAGATCGAGCACAAGAAGGAGGAGCTGCGGCAGATGGTGGGCGAGCGCTACCGCGACCTGATCGAGGCGGCCGACACCATCGGCCAGATGCGCCGCTGCGCCGAGGGGCTGGTGGACGCCGTGCGGGCCACCGACCGGTACTGCGCTCGCCTCCGCCAGGCCGGCTCCGCGGCGCCCCGGGTCCCGCGGGCCCCGCAGGTCAGTCCGGGACCCGAACCCGCCACGTCCCGCCGCCGCCCTGCCGTCCGGCGGACCCCACCCCTCACCTTCCGCCGGAGGAGCCCGCCCCTCGCGCTGGTCCGGGCTCCCGGGAGGCGTCTGCCGGCCTTCCTCGAGACTCTGGTCTGCTCCCGCAAAGTCAGCCAGCCGCCTTTTGCTCCAGGAACCTTCCCGGACTTCCGGACGATTCCCTCGCCTCCCTCGGGTTCCCAGCACTCTCCTTCCCTTTTAACTGAAAACGCCAGGGGTCTCTCGACAGTCAGGGAACTGAACTCTCTCTCTTTTTTTTTTTTTTTTTTTTTTGGCTCACACCGTCCCATCAAGTCATTCATTCCTCATCCTCCCACCCTGTACCTGAGCCTGGAAAATTGGGGGAGGGCAAACTCAGCCGTCAGGCCCTACCCCTATTATTAGGTGAACAATTTCATTGTAGCCAACGAAGCTGGTCTAGACAATTCAGGTCATCCTGCCTTCCACTCCCTGGCACATTAAAGACCCGATGCGGAACGATGGGGTGGGGAGTACATCCTAACCTTGGCCATCGGGCGAGGCATGAACAGTGGGCATTGTAGGGTACCGTATTTTTAGCCTGGGAGGACTTAGTGAAACAGAAGAAGAAACAACAACAGCACAATCTAATTCTGATTTGGAGCTAGCTTTCTCGTGTTACTTGGTTTTCACGAAAAGCCATGCCAAAAAAAATGTGGGAGCATAATGAAAGTGTACATAGAAGGTTGGAAACACATTGGCTTTTACCACTCCCTAAGCTGGCTAACTTCAACTATATAAGCCTACTTTAAAAAAAAAAAAAAAAAAAACTATTGATTTTCATAGTCATGGCTGGTGCATTTCTGGGGCAGCCCCACAGAAGTCATTCCAAATCACAAGCAAGCCTCCCAGTTCCTTTTCGAAAGCTTACATCTATCAAGGGAATAAACCCATGGGAAGTGGGATTTTTTTTTTTAATGTAAATAATTTAGAATGGCAGTAGAAAATGTTTCAGTGTAACAGTGATTAATCACCAAAATAATTGTGTCCGGTTAAGATAATAGTTCTGGAGGGGATGCTTTAAGTGTGGGTCGGCCTCAGTAAGGACAACTGAGATTTGGGACATTGATGTCTGTGGCCAGCCATGCTGCTTATAACGAAGTATTTGACACTTGCTGTCAAGTCAGTGTGTCATAAAGAACAAAAATCCATTTTCCCACAGGATTGGGTCCTAGGAAGTCCAAGATCAAACTGTAGCATTTGACATCTGTGAGGACCTGCTTGCCTCACAGGGCAGATGGGGAGGAACACAAAAGAGCCAGAGTTAATCCACCCCTCCCCAAACACACACACACAGACACGTGAACTAATGAAGACAGAACCCTGAGATGACAGGCCCGAAGCCGGGGACAGACGAAGATGTGGTGCAGGGCTGGCAAGGTACAGTGAGCACAGAAATCTTTGGTGCTCTCAAAGAGGGAGGAGAGAAAGGAGGAAGGCTGTGCGTGAGAAAAGGGAGGAAGCACGTATAAAAGGTGACATGTCCTGTGTCAGACCTCAGGGTCCCACTGGTGGAGTGGCACTGAGTCTAGCTTAATAAAACTTGAGTTTTGCTTTGTTTTTAAGGACAGGGTTTCAATATTTAACCCTGGCTGTCCTAGACCTGGCTGTTGACTAGGCTGGCTTTGAACTCACAGAGATCCATCTGTCTCTGTCTCCTGAGTTAGTTCTGAGATTAAAAGTGTGCACTACCGCACCAGGCAAAGCTTCAAATCTTAAAATATCCCCTGACTTCTCCCCACACCTGTATAAACAGATCCATGCTTTTTTTGCTCTCCTTTCTTCTGCCCTTCAGCCACAGCCACCATCCGAGAAATTCTACAGCATGGCTGCCCAGATAAAGCTGCTGTTAGAAATCCCCGAGAAGATCTGGAGCTCCATGGAAACCTCCCAGCATCTCCAGGCCACACAGCTCTACCTGCTCTGCTGCCGTCTGCACAGCCTGCTCCAGCTGGACTCCTCTAGCTCCAGATACAGCCCCATCCTCTCGAGATTTCCCATACTCATCCGGCAGGTGGCAGCAGCCAGTCACTTCCGGTAAGTAAGCACGCATAGGCTCTCTAATGCTGTCTGGACCTCAGTTAACCCCTGCTGTGTTAGAGTCTGTCTTCTTTCCTGATACACTGAGGTACTTCACCCTGAACGTTAGCCATTCCTTGTTGATCTTTGCGAGTCTTTTTAGGTCAACTATTTTGCACGAAAGCAAGATGCTGCTTAAATGCCAGAACGTGTCGGACCAGGCTGTGGCCGAGGCCCTCTGCTCTATAATGCTCTTGGAGGAGAGTTCTCCCCGCCAAGCCCTCACAGACTTCCTGATGGCCAGAAAGGCGACAATTCAGAAACTTCTGAACCAGCCTCATCACGGTGGGTGTGCTAAAATGTCATTCTTTAATGGGATGGAACAGCATTTGTCAAGAGAGCCTGAGGCATCTGTGTTCTGTGTCCCGTCTTGCTAAAGGGACCTGTTTAGAAGAGGGTGATTGCTTCTTGCAGGTGCTGGCATCAAAGCCCAGATATGCTCTTTGGTGGAGCTGCTGGCCACCACCTTGAACCAAGCCTATGCCCTTTTCTACACTCTACCGGAAGGCGTGCCGACAGACCCATCGCTGCCGTGTGGCTTGCTCCTCTCCACCCTGGAGACAATCACAAGCCAGCATCCCACGGGTGAGCTCAAAATCTTCTTTCTCATTCATTCAGCTGATCTGTCCCATGTCCCAGCTGCTGGGCCAGGCTCTGGGAATAAATGGGTGAACTGGGAAGATTCTGACTGCTGCTCCGTGGATGTCATAGTTTGGTTGTAAAAGCAGATGCTGAATCTTCAGAGGTGCAGGCTGCTGTTTGATGTCAGTCATATCATTGCTGTAAATACAAGGTAACAGTTGCCTAGCAAAATTAGGAGGATCTTCCCAAGGCCAAATAGGACTTCCCTGGGGAAGTGAGGTTAAACTGAGAGCTGAAACCAGGCAGCAGCGGTGCACACCTGTTACTCCCAGCACTCAGGAGGCAGAGGCAGGTGAACCTCTTTGAGTTCGAGACCAGCCTGGTATACGGTGTGAGTTCCAGGGCAGCCAGGGCTACCCTGTCTTGAAAAACTAAGAAGAAAAAAAATCTGAAAGCTGGAGGTTGAGAGGAGTTAGTGAGTAAAGGAGGAAAAAGAGCCCCAGGTAGAAAGAAGAGGAGCTTCAGAGCCTAAGAGCTGGAAAATGCCACCAGAAGAAGTTTCTAGAGTGATGGCAGGGTCAGGTGAGAAGAGGCCCGAGGCATGACCAGGGCCCAGGTAATGTGCATCCAGTGAGCTGGACGTGGGAGGATGGACTTTATCTGGAGAGCAGGGTACCCTTCTGTGACCTTGCAGACTTGGGACGCTCCCTCTCTCATATGTCCCCATGCATCCCATACTTCTTTAGGGTAGCATTTCCCCAGCTATAATTAAATGTGTTTATGTGACAGTGGAGTCCTGCAGGGCAGAGTAATATGGAGAGCTCACAGGAAGCTGTCACCATGGTCCGGGGTCAGACACAGAATGGAGACTTGGGTTAGGCGGGAGCCATGTGGTGGGGCTAAGTGGACAGCCGATCTCTGAGAGGGCTGGGGATAAAGGATTGGCTGTGGAGCACATGGCAAGGGAGGTGCCCATGTTAACCAGAAGAGGAACTGGTTGGGACTGGTGATGGATTGACATTTGTAGAGGAGGCACTGGACAGCACTGAAATCCTGAAAGGGGACCCGGGAGTGGGCAGGTGTCCCCAGAGACACACCTGCAGTACACCCGCTGATGGGAGCATTTGCAGCCACAGGGATGGCTGACAGACAGACTCCTGTCGTCCTAGGGTTGTGGGTCATGCGGGACTGTCAGCACAGGGAAATGGAGACGGGGTCATGCGGGACTGTCAGCACAGGGAACTGTGGAGACTGGGGTCATGCGGGACTGTCAGCACAGGGAACTGGAGACTGGGGTCATGCGTTACTGTCAGCACAGGGAACTGGAGACGGGGGTCATGCGGGACTGTCAGCACAGGGAACTGTGGAGACGGGGGTCATGCGGGACTGTCAGCACAGGGTACTGGAGACGGGCAAAGGGGGAAAGGAAGGGAGCACAGTAGTTGCTACCCAGGGCTCACTTCCAGGAGAAAGTGAATGCCAGGCTCATCGCTGAGCGACACCACCTTTCTTATGCTTACACACACACACACACACACACACACACACACACACACACATGCCCACACACACCCTCCAAATGGCCATGTAATCATTTATCCCTCTCATGAAAGGTGAGTACTGACTGACCTGCCCTGGCATAGGGTAAGAAATCAGACATGGAAGGTTACCTTGCAAGAGCCTTCTGTTTCAAACTGAGTGGCGGGGGAGTTTGAGACAGGGTTTCTCTGCATAGCCCTGGCTGTCCTGGGACTCACTTTGTAAACCAGGCTGCTGAGTGGCCTCCTACAGAGTGCAGTGAAAGGCCTTCCCGAGGAGCACAGTGCAGGCCTGTAGGATGACCAGGGACATCCCCGCACAGGACAGGGCATCAATGGTTGTTCCCTTGGATCCTCAAGGGACCTAGGATGCTGAGGAAAGAGAAGTGAATGCCTGCACATTTTTTGACAACGTAAGCTCTGTTGTTAGACTATCAGGGACTTCTGGGTACAGTGGCGTGTACCTGTAGAACTAGCTTCCCAGAAGTTTGAGACAGGAGGTCCACTGGGGCTCAGGGTTGGAGACCAGCCTGAGTGATGCGGCAAGATCCAACCCCCCCCCACACACACACACACACACTGTAGCACAGCATTTTTTCCTTCCCTGGTTTGCCCTCCTTTCCTCCAGGCCTGTACTATTCTTCTCTACCAGCAAAATGGCTGAGTGTGGGGAAGCTGCCACACATAATGTTATCCCAAATAACGAGAGCCTGACATTCCTTGTACTTGGTTTAATGTGACCTCTTATCCAGATAGGCCCACGAGGGGAGTGGGCTAGGGTTTTAGAAGATCCCCTGTGTTGTTTGAGTCTTGATATGCTGCTTAAAGCACAGTCTGGATTCTTGTCACTTGGCTTTTCTCCAGGAAAGGGCATCGGTGCCCTGCAAGGGGAGATGAGACTGTGCAGCTGGTTCAGACACCTGCCAGCCTCCATTATGGAATTCCAGCCAGAGCTACGAACTCTTGCACATCCCATCAGCCAGGAATACCTGAAAGACACACTGCAGAAATGGATCGACATGTAA